TTTTTTTTCTTATCATCTCTTCCAGGAAGAACCTACCTGAACGTGTAATTCCCAGGTAGGAGGTTGGTCAGCGTCAATATGGCAGTATCAGTAGAAACCTTTTCCTCTCGCAAAGGACCCTTCAGTTCTTCCCAATGGTAACTGACAATTTTATCATCATCAGTGCTTTCTGTTTCGATTATGAAAGAAAAAGCACATATCCCCTTAAACTCACTCCAAAAGGGCCAGCCCAGAAGCAAGCACCCCAGGCTTGCCAGACTACTGCCCTGAACACAGCGGGTACTCACGGCTGCCATCGATCACAGTCGAAATAGTCGGCAGTGAAATCTCCTGGAACTGCGGGGACACGACGGCAACCGGGGGCTGGTTCACCCGAGGCTCTGCAACAACCACCAAGCCACAACATTGATATCTACGGGCAGATGATGATACAAAGCACCAAGGAACCCTTTGAAACCCAAGGAACCTGCCCAAGCCCCTCCTGGGAACTATTCTGCTCTTGCACACAAGGAGGGGCGAGCAGGAGACATGCTGTGCTCCCTTCTTCCTCTCTGCAGTCCTATCTACTCCTCCATCCCTGATAGAAATGACTGCTCTTGGACACTCTTGCAAATTTAGGGACTACAAGAGCACTTATTTGGCCACAATGTTTCAGAAACACGTAAGTGTGCAAAATACAGCTCTTTTGCCTAAAAGGAGATGCAAATTTAGGGACTACAAGAGCACTTATTCGGCCACAAATGTTTCAGAAGGAGTGTCACGTAAGTGTGCAAAATACAGTTATTTTGCCTAACAGGAGATGTAGAACCTGTGGTGTGACCTTCCCTCTTACACAGGCTGTCTAAGAGGAGACTTGGTGCTACAGTCAGCACAGGCTCCGGTATTTACAACAGCTCATCTGCAAACCATGTCTTTAAAGCATCTTACAGTAGGGAATTAGATTTGATTTAACCTGCCTGTGTATGGGAATGATATTCTTTACTGGACAAGGAAGAAAAGAACCTCGAAAGGAGCTTCAAAGCTCTGGCTTTCCTTCATTTTCTGCTCCTGCTGCTCTAAGCTTTTTACCCGCTTACAGCTAGTTCCTATGAAGCGGAGGTTTTCCAGGGTCAGGCATTTGCTAAGCGCTTCTGAAGCAGAATTCCAGTTCTTTTATTGAACCATTAGTCTGCGTCCAGTATAGAAGACATAGCTAGGTGTATTAGTAGTAGTTTCACATTGTAGCAAATGGCTTAATACACTTATAACATACATGCATGTATGTATACCAAGTTCACAACACAGTGAATTCTCACTGGACTCCAAGGTCCAGTCAAACAAGTGAAATAGCATCATGGTCTAACAGAGACAGATGGAAAGATGCAGTTCCTCTGAACTCACTTGGATTCACCGTCACGTTCACATAACCCTCTCCATGTGCATTTTCCCCATCCACAATGACTTTGAATTCATAGAGGCCAACAGTAAGCTGAAAAGTAAAGACAAAAGATTATTTAACTTGCAATGGTAGAAGCTTGCCAGGAGTTACTAAAAGGCCACGTTACCATGCTGTGGCCTAGCACCACGTTAGGAGCATAAGCACATGTAATTGTGTTCTGTCTCCACATATAAGGCAGAGGATGGTTTCCCAGCCACAGCGATGGGAAGTATCTTTTAGTTTACAATGGCTACACAAGACCAAAGTCTATTATTTCCTATGGCCACAGGTGACACAGGGCTGCCTGTCAAGCTTGCTTTTCTAGCAACAACAGGCAAACAGAAGAGATTAGTTCAACTTGTCTGCCTTGTGGAATCTGTGCCAGCAGACTGCATTTGAGATGAGCAAGGCTGCATGTAAGAGAAGAAAATCTCTTCCTGTGCGTCCTTACAAAGAGCTTCTCTTCTAGATGGCATGAGGCAGACGGGCACCCTCTTTTGGATTAGCATCAAGGGATGAAGGAAAGGGCTAAGGACTAGACACTAGACAGCCACTACACTGTCCAAGAGGCTGAAACCCTGAGAAGACAGGCATGCTCCTTCTGAAAGGTTTTTCCCTGCATGGTGTCACAATTAAGGCCTGTAAATATTATTGATCGCATTAGAATACAAAATACTCAGGAGAGTTTCCCATAAAAGCAACATGCTGTCATCACGCATTATTTAAAGTCTTTTAAAGAAACCTCACATGCAAAAAACAACAATCCTTGCACTGGTGAGAGCTATTATTAGTTATCAGCAAAGAGCCAGGAGCTTTCTGTGCTGATTCCATTAAGGAACATCATGGAACATCTGGACTCCCTGGTTCAGGAAGGAGTAACGAGGCTTCAGACCTAAACTGACTACCACTCTCTCAGTAAAAGACATTCATAGGCATTTGTTAAATTGTGCCCCTTGTACATGGCTTGACATGCTGCTTGTAGGCAGCTTTTAGATCCTGAAATCAATTTCTTCTTTCCCCCATGACAGATCAATCTTCTTTTCATAAGAGACTTAGAACAAGGCTTGCAGTCAAATGTTGGCTGCCTGCCCATCATGTAATTTCCTATTCATCCTGGAATCACACACAAGTCTTTCCTGGCTGCCAGGGTTCCCCTCTTCTTCACTTGGCATTCCACACAGCAGGATACTAAGCAGCAAAAGCTTTACCTTAGATAACTTAAGGATGTGGGAGCGCTTCCCTTCCATTTCTCCGCTGTAGTCTTTTGGATGAGTAATGAGTTCCCACTCATAGGAGACTGGTGTCTTTAGAAAAAAAAAAAGAGTTGTAGAAGTCAGTTCTTAAGAGACCGCCTTTCTTTCTGCCATGATAAAGAAAAGCAAAGGCATTAAACATTTACAAGGTCCATTCTGCTGCACTACAGAGAAATAAGACAGCACGGAGTTTATACTGCAGCTTTTGGGGAATATATCTGTGAAAAGAGACAATCTGTGTTTCTAAGCACATTTATTCAGGAGCCAAAATCCGTCTTGCAGCCTCTCAAGGCATTAGAGAGCTCTGGAACACTCTCAGCTCCAGGATGTTATGAGAAGTCTTTCTGTACACAGAAATCCTGCAGGCACAACCAGTTTTGGAACAGGAATGCACCCATTTACCGCAGCACAACATGCAAAACGGGTGTCCCCTCCTTGGCAAGTCTCCCACTGCCACTGCGGGCAGAGCTAGAAATGCCAGAATCAGACACCTGTGGACAATCTGCATGACAAAATAGAGAGTGCATAGAAATACACTCCTGAGTGAGTTTACAACCCCTAAAAATAGGAACTTTAACACAGCAGATGAGAAACCACTTGCTAAGACAGGCTGTTACAAGCCCTGCAAGCAAATACTAGCAAGAGCTGCTGAAGAGCCACAGCCTCCTCCCACAGCACTTTCAGAATAAGCTATTGCCCAAACCAGTGATTTTGTGACATTTTCAAGGCTTGATCTCTTGCTATTTTCTGTAAAAGGCTGCATGGGTATCAGTACAGGAGATTTAGTTTCTACGGGAAACTTCCCTGCTGGAAGATATTTCCATCACTGTCCCTATTTACTGCTGTATCTAGTATTTATTTGTCATTTCACCATCGCGTGCCCCGAGGAGACTCCCAGGGAAGCCTTACGAGGTGGTGGTTCCGGCAGCACAAACGCGTTCAGCAGAACTTCATTCTTCGGCAGGGTCACCTGGACGCTGTCTCCAGCGGAAACCACCAGCTCCTTTATAACTGGGAGGGGAGAAAAGAAAACACACAGAAGTGAAATAGGAACAGGAAAAAAAAGATACACACATAAAAATCGCCTTGGCTGCAGAGTCCAGAATAAAAGCCAGATACAAATGGCTGATTTCTGTTAACATCCCATCTCCCAGTATAGATCTTTGTACATGTTTCAGACTCATTTTTAATGCAAAAGCACTAATGAGGTTTTATAACTTTAAGGCCAAAATTACTCAGCCTCTCCCTCCCTCTCTGCAGCTCCTGCTCCTTTTGTAAAGGGCTGAAACGTGATCCCCAACCTGGGGGCCTCTCCAGCCAGGTCCAGCAGGATGAGGAGGGTTTGACCCGGCAGGTTGCAGGGGAAAACCCAGATGCACTCGCACGGGCAGAGCAAGACAAACATTGCCATTCACTGAGCAGCAGCTTCAGATCTTTACAAATATATGAGGTATTCAAAGTATTTCTTAGTTTTAAAAAATTGCTTGGGGGCAATACAAAGCTTTTCATCTTACTTATACTTTCTCTTCCTCCCCTTCCCTTCGAATTCAAAAAAGTAGCATTTCTTAAGAATTTTCTAGTAATTTTGTCTCAAATAAACTGTCAGATAGACTGTTTTCAAAGACTACACAGTAAAGACATGAAAAATATGCCTATGGCATTTTTTTCTGCTTGTTATTAGCATTAAGACCACTAGAAAGTTGACTGAACTTCTAAAAAGATCTCTTCACTGCCACCTCTTCCTCTTTCCTTCTCATTTGTTTTATTTTATTTTTTTAATTTTCAGGCTTGAGAATTATGCCTAGAAAACAAGAATTAAAGTTTACTATTACCTAGGTTGACCCTGTTGAATATAATATTTCAGATATATGCACCAAAAGATAAAAAGATGGAGAAAATATTATTAAACATTTAGCCTTCCTCCCAGTGGTTTATTAGCTATTGGAATTGTTAGCTAAACCAATTTCAGACCCTCCTTTCCCTCTTAATTACTTTGTCGCTCGGGATACTATAACTCCAACAGTCTTTCAATCCCAAAGCAAAGGAAAATGTGACCTTCTAGCAGAAAAAAAAAGAAAGAAAAAACAAAAATAAAACACCAACCCCTTTTGGAAACCTCTCCCCTTCACATCATCTTTGTATTATTTGTATAACAAGGAGGCCCTAGCTACATTAATTTTCCAACACAAACCACTTAAGACATTTAATATATATTTTCCAGCTTTAACCGGGTAAGTCTTTAAAAAGAGAAGCAACTTGTTAGTATAAGCACTCATTAGCTCTCTGCCAAAAAGAGTCTTTGGATGCAACATTTCTATTACACTTTCCATTTGTTCCCTTCTAAGGGAAAGGGAACCCTAAATTCAGAAGCGTTCCGCCACGGCTACTGCAGCACACTGGATTAACCGAGTTTTGAGCTATTACACAAGCAGTTCCAGCACTCCATGTAAGCACACATCCTTGCAGGATGAGCTCATGGCCTGGGTGGGCTAACAGAACTAGCCAAAGTGCATTTTTGCTTCTCCACAATTTCAAATTGTTGCTTTAAGAAGTATCTGTGTGAACAGAAACAAGTCATTTTTCTGCAAAGCAAAGCCTGGCTAATGGCCAAGCGTGCTGTTCTCCGTATCCAAACGGAGCACTGACATTCCGGGGATGGGCAGGAGGGAATCAGTTACAGTCCTCTGTGAGCAGACATTAAGATTTCTACTCAGCTTGACACAGTGGCATGTCATCACTGCTCAAGGAACGTTTCACATGGTTATGCCTTGCATCAAACCTCATCTTCCACTTTTGGAATGAAGATATCACTACTACTTTCAAGTTGTGCTCAGAAACAGACACAACAGTCGTATGCAGATCCGTTATGGTAAAACGCCATTCCACGTGTGCTGAAGAACTCCCTCCACACCCTTTCAAATTCACCGCTGTGTCTGAAATTATCCAGTGCTTTTCCATGCTGCAGCAGCTTGTCAACAACACCTCAGCAGAGGAGCTGCTGGAGCGCTGTGTGTCCTACCTGGGGCGGGCGCAGTTGTACTTGGTGACGCAGCAGCGCCGGTCGGGAGAGCGGGAATGCTGCCGTTCGTGGGAACGCCGCTCGGCACGGGAGTAGCGACCTCCATCCTCACTGTGGTTCTCCCCTTCACGGGGCTGACCGTGGGCAACACGTCTGAGGAGTGAGGATGGACCAAGGCATCATCTGGCTGCTTAGGTTTCTCGGTCTTCCCAACGGCTGTCAGGCCCAGGACGGCAGGGCTGGAGAACGTAGCCAGGGCTGATGGTGCTGGCGCTGCTGTTCCTGGGTGGACCTGGAACGGGAGAAATAATCCTAATTTGACTGAAGTCTGAATATCAACTTTGTTTCACCATACTGGTCTCAGAGAGGACCCAAATTCCTCTGGATTACACTATCTATCACACTCCACCAGAACTGAGACTTCATCACCTCCAGTTCAAGAAGGTGAAGGTTCCCTTGTTTGCTTTTCCCCAACAAGAAGGATGTTTTGCTGCCTCCTATTCCAGACGATTCCTCCCTACTCTTCTCAAGTTCCTACTCCAGGGAGAACAGGCCCCTTCCAGCTCAGCAGAACACCAGTTGGGTCTTAGACCTCAAGTATTGCATCCGTTGGCCACATGTTCCTTTTTCTGAAGCCGTGTAGTTGGCAAGCACAAAGGAAGGGGATTCCAACAGCATTTTTCTGTAATCATCAAATCATTACAGCAAGATTATTGCAAAATCACTCTTCAAAGCAGGGTGACCTGGCACAACCAGTTCCCTAAGTATATCCCACAGGAGGTCCCACTGGGGCAGGGAGCTAGCCCTGCGGGCAGAAAGCTTGTGCACAGGCAGGATGAGCCACTTTATTGAAAATAATCAAAGACAAGAGCAACAATTTCCTTTCTTTCATCAGAAAATTCCTCTTCCTGCACCTATGCTCATTCAGCTCTTAGCTAGCAGGACAGTACCCTGGCAATTCACCTTCCACCCTAAAACACATGTACCACATTCTGCTGAGCTAACTCACTTTTGGGAACACCTGCCAGATACTTAAAATGAAGCAAATTACCACCTTCGACTTGGGAAATGTTTTGTAGCTGAATTATCCAGCACTACTGCCGCTACAGCAGCTGATCAAGAGCATGTACAGGCGGAAACGCTTCCACACTTTTACACCACTACTGCCTTTCAGTCCAGGAAATGGAAACAGTAAAAACGCTCGAGACCACCGTGGGCAACATCCTGGTGCTAAATGGGCTGGGCCTCAGAAAAGAGTTAAAAGGCAGCAGTAAAAACAAAGCCCTCCCTGCACATACTGGAACAGCCAGACGAGCCAGAAACAGCAAGGAAACAGGTGAAAGCTCTTATGCAATAATATTTTTTGGACTCTTGGCTAATCGGTTTCTCTCCCCACGTCTCAACTAACTCTCCCTCAATCACAGAATTCAAAGAACCTAAATTCATTTATATATTTAACAATCTTTCAAGCTTCACGGACAGAAGAAGCGTACATGATGTATTAGCACTATGGACACAAACTGCTTTTCTCCCTTTGCTTACTTGCTGAGGGGTTTTCCTTATCCCAGGCAAAACTACAGATTATCTGGAAAAGAGGCAGGCAAATCGGGACACGGTGCCCTGCACAGCCTCAGCAGCCGCCTCGGCACCAACAGCTGCTCCAAGGGATGCAGGACACCTGCAGCTCCAGCCAGCTAGGGTTACTGACTGCCTTTTGCTAAAGAAGGGCAAAGAAGATGGGTAGAAACACTGGCATTCCACGATGACCACAGCAGAACCACCAAGCAGGGACTCGGACACCTGAGACTGTTTAGAAAAGGCACAGGAGCAGAAAGTTCCCATGACTTACTGCAACGGGGAAGCACGTTTTGCTTAGCAAGAACCAACCCCACAAATGGGGCACAGGAGATGAGCACCTATCCACCGGGCACAACAACCCAGATCTCAACTTTGCTCAATAATATTCTCAGTAGATGTTTCCCTGACTCATTTTTAATGCCTAAAACAACTCCACAGTTTACAGAGATTCTCCTCCTCCTCTTCCCCAGAGTCTCCAGAATGAATTGACAGCCAAACATCTGCAGAGAGCTCAAATTAGATAAGCTCTGCTTGGGGCAACATAACAGCTAAAATACCTCTAACGTTTGCAAGCTGAGACATTTCTTATCTTTACTCCATAACCCAGAATTCTTTAAAGCAAAGAACAGAAGACTTCATTCTTCAAGATAAAGAAGGAGACTAGAAGTTGGCCAGCTGTCCCCTCTTATTAGCTTACAAAACAGAGAAAGTGGCATATTGGTGGGTTGGAGTGAACACGTGAGGGTCAGACACTTCATTCCTACCCCAACTCTCTTTGGCCTGGGACAAGTGTCCCAATCTCCCTATCATTTTTCTTTTGTAGCTAAGGGCTGATGGGCAGGGTGAGCTGCAGTTTATTTATGCTCTCCCTCACCTACCTCTGGCACTAGAGCATGCAGACTATAAAACCACAAATTAATGCCAGTTGTACATTAGCAACTGACATTGCATATGACTATTGAGCTGTCAGAACTGCAAGAGGAAAATTAAAACTCAGTGAGTGGGATGGCAATGTTTTGCTAGAAGAGTCCCTTGACCTTTTCCCCAAGTCTTTAGGAGTAAAGGAAAAAGATTTGTATTGCCACCCATTCGCTGCTCATCAGAAATGATGAATACACCTATCAATTTCTCTCTCTCCCTTTAGAGAGGAGTTAAGAGCCAGTTTGACCTCACATTTCTTTTCCCACTTGAGATGTTTGATGCTTCCAGGTACAGGCTACTTTGTATGCAGTAATGATCAAGTATTCTCTGCACCTTCCAGCCTACCCGCCAAAGCTCCGTTAAGAACACGAGTATTAAATGCCCTGCACTCACCTGCTAGAGCAGCGTGCTCCGAGCACTCAATCAAATGCAGCCCAAGTGTAATTCGATTGATTTCACATGTGCTTAACTATTTATTTTGGCCCATCACCAAACCTACTTGGAAAACTCCTGGCTGTAGCATCTCTCTCCTGCAAAGGCAGCCCACATCCCAAGTGCACAGCTCTCGATGTTATATTCTTGGCCCAAATTAAACTGAAATGCAAGGACAGTTGCATAGCTTGATTTATATTTTGCCACTGAAAGTTGGATGATTGAATAATCAAGGAATTAGCCCTGGGCTGTGTAGAACCAGCTTCAACTCAGTGCTGCAACACTGCAAACTGAACAACCAGGGAGACAGAACAACTATAAGCCAAGAGCTAAAGGCAGCATTTAAGACTGTCCACAAAGAAGCCTCCCCAGATGTTGCACACATCAGCTAGGAGAATGGGGTCACTGCATAAATCTCAAATCTTCGGAGGAAGAAAGAACAAGTAGGGTAGAAATGCTGCAGTATTGCAGGGGAGAAAGCGAGCTGAGCTCACGAATCAGTGCTAGACGCTGTGGGGTTCTGGGACATCCAACACTCGTGAAGTTTTTCTGCATGGTTTCACATAGCACCTGGGCTGCCCTGGAATTTGCAGCCGTGTCCTTGGCTGTTCTCCACATCCTGCTCTGCAGGGTGGTGGCTCAGACGGGTCACAGCCTTGCCTGGAACTGAGGTTTACAAACAAGGGAGAGAAAATCGAGTTAAGGTTCCAGAACAAGAAAATAACTACAGGAAAAACCACCAGGCTTCAACAGCGTCGAATCCTGGAAACATGGCAGAAGAGTTTCACAAAGTAGGATTCTTCCTCTATCACCAGGCTACCTCAAAATACACTGGAAACTCTACACATAAGTTTACAAAACAATGCACTTACTGCCTCAGTTTGGCACAGTCAAAAGGAAACAGCTCATTTTATTTTGTGGATGTAGAAAGTTCCTTCACAAGTAACACTTCTCAACTCCCAGGCACCCTCCATTTGCATCCCACCCCATCCTTACTCCTGCTCTGGCAGGCACGCTGTGGGTTACACGTGGGATGAGCATCGCCACGACGTGAGGCTCCCCGCAGCTCCACGGGAGAGGAGGAGCCCCAGCAGCCCGAGGCACACTCACCTGCAGAAAGCCAGTGCCACTGGCATCACTCGGGCTGGTGACGTTATTGCTGCTAGGAGGGAACGGGCTCTTGGCTTTCGGCTCTCTTGGATTCTGTCCGTTTTCAAGTGAGTCCTCCTTTTGACTGGGATGGTCTTCAGGAACAGGCCTGTCCGGCACTGAAGATCTTAGTGCTTGATCCTTCGACACGGCTTCCCTTCGGCTCCCTCTGGATTTGCTGTCCGGAGGGCTGGCTGCCTGGCCACCGCTGGGGACAGCCACCAGGTCCCCTTCCAGAAGGGCCACTCTGCCACTTGCCAAGGACCTCCGCAGTCTTTTTTTACCTCGGGCAGAGATGTCCCAGTCCAGCCACTTGTGAAGCCAGGTCTTTGCATCACCTTCTGTTTGATGCTTCAAGAAGTGCTCTGTGCTTTTTGATTTCTCTAGAAACACCAAAACGGAGTCAGGAGAGCCAGTCCTGTTTGCCTGACACATGCCAGGCATAGTGCAGTTCACCTGGACGCACATATTTTCCAAGAACCAAAAGGCATCACAGGCAGGGCTCTGGCAGCAGGCAGTCTGACAGGACTGTACAGTGTGAAACCCCTCCAGGAGCCGCAAGTGGCCATCGTCCCACGATCTCAAACGGCAACCAAATAAGATTTTCCCTGGCTGGCATTTAGATCTGTTCCAATTTGCATCTGAGAAAGGGAGAAGGAAAAGAAATAAAGAAAATTCTCAATTCTTTAACGCAGTGGAAAATAAATCCTCATCACTACTGTCACGGTGAATGTAGAGTGCAGGACTGACGTGGGGGTCAAGTTACTTCATATCTCACACTGGGGTAAAGAAGCAACTGCTTTGCATATGGATTTTTTTTTTTAGCATTAAAAAAAAATAGAGTGCTTGCATGGATCAGTGGATTAAAGGCTTCCAAAATTCAGAGCTCTACAGATTAAGGACTCCCTAAAAATAGACTAGTGACCTATGGGACTGTTAGCCTGGGCTGTGTTCAGCATCCACGGGATAATAGGTCACTGGCAGATTACTTTACAAACTGTCACTGGACTCTGAGTTGTGCAGCTGCAGACTGTATTCCAGCACTGGCTCCCTCCCTGGTAGGAAGGGATTTCTTGAACAACACAAAAGGGAAACTTTGCCTTCATTTTAAAAAAGGAAGTCTCAGTCCAAATTATAGTGCTCTGATCCTCATTTCTACACAGCATGTAAACAAAAGTTGCATAACATTCCAGTAATTTGGATTCATTCTGAATTCATGTCACATTATACCCAGGGATGTTGGCTGTAGATGAAATTAAACAAATTAAGCAGGCGTGACTATTGCACAGTGTGTGCACTAGAAATTTGAGCACTTCGGTATATCAATAGACAAAATGCTGTCCTGCTCAAGTGGCAGTTCTGGTTTTGTTAGGCAGCTCCGCTTGGCTGAACAGCAAGGGAATTAAATGGTTAAGAACAGTTTCTATTAATAAAGTTCCAGTTCAGAAACTTGTTTGGCAGTTAATGCCTATTGATTTCAGATTAATGATTAAAGGCTTGGCTGTATAGACTTCTTCTAATCTGTCACATGCAACCAATTATGTCGATAGAGTTCCTCTTGCACAACTCTGCACAGTCACACCAATTCCTTCACCATCATGATTGCTCCCCAGTGTAACAAAGTCTGCTGGCTACGTAACATTCAAATAACACCAAATAAATAGCACCAAAAGTTACCAAAAGTAACTCAAACAAAACCAAAAGAACAGTGACCCCAATGTGGAAAAAAAGTGTCCACATAAGCAGAGCTCTATCACAAATAATTATACTTGTTTCCACATACACATCAGCCTTCACAGTTTTAACTCTCCCAAATACAGAAGCCCTTCAATCCTAACAAAAGTATCATCCACCTTTCTCGCTCCAAGCTCCTGGAATGTTACTAAGGAGAGGAATCACTAAGCAGGAAGCCCAGGAAACACTCATCCCATCAGATACCCTATCGAAACCCTAAGGACTGAGCAGGCTTCGCTAAGAGCAGGGACATTAACGTGTCTTTCAGGTTCTCAATCAGCAGATTAAGGTCACAGAGCTCACTAGCTTAACCAGTCTATCACTGCTAAGCATCCTGGAAAGGCCAGTGCAACAACAGGGACCCTGTAGCAGCCCATACAACACATCCACCTAAGGGAGAAAAGAAAAAAAAAAGTCTGCTTTTCCATCATGTTAACATCAGCCTGTAGCAACCTTCCATTAAGGGCAAGGCAGCTGGCAGCCACCACACAGGTGAGCACACGCTGAAGTCATCACCGCCTCAAACCTGTGATTCACCAGGATTTGAACAAAACCAAGAGACACAGAACAAACTTTCTTATCTTCACTAACATTTGGTAAGTGCTGGGTGAACACGTGGGAAAAATACATCATCATCCTGGTAAATATTTGGCCTCAAAAACACTCACAGGAACTTAATACTTCTCTATGAATAGTCATGCTCTGAACCTTTTTAATACAAAACAATCTGTCACATGAGAATCTCCATACAAGCCACTAACTTGGTTATTTATTTGGGCAGAAGGTTGGTTACTTGAGTAGAACAGAAAATAAATACCAAGCACAACAATTATCTGTAGGTAAATTCAGATTACTGACAAGCTGTGTTCAGCTGTCTTAAACATTGGAGTGCTGAAAAATGCTCCTGGGTTTCCAGAGAGCTTCAAATACTCCTCATTTAGTAATTAGCTTACAAGGTTATTTGCAATGCCTAACAGCTAATAAATTGCACCTTCTTTGCAGAGCATTTTAGCTGAGAGGGATAAACGCGAAGAGGAGCAAACCTGCGGGGCGGCACAAGGCACACAGGCAGGCGCACAGGCAGAGCAGGCGCAGCCCCGGCAGCCGTCCCGGGCACGGACCGGGCACAAATCGGGCACCGATGCTGGACTTGACTTCCAATCTTTTCTCCATGGCCTTCGTGGGCAGCGGAGGGGCTCTAGAAACATGGAAGAAGCAGAGAGCGGCTGTCAGTGATTGATATGTTTTTACAAGGGACCCGTTGACACAGCGACGTGCGCGGAGCTTTTGTGGAGGAAAGGGGATGCGTAATCTTATCTGCCGTGTTTTAGCCCAGCTGCTGCTGCATAACCCTCGGTACCTGCCCTGAACGGACACCTGAGGCAGCAGAGCTTCCAGCTGCGGAGGCCACGGCTCCTTTTCCACGGCTCCTATGGCCCCTTCCAGCAGGGAAGCGCCAACCGCGAGATTCCCGGCTCCGAGCACGCCGCGGTGCAGGGAGGCACCGGGAACGCTCGGTCCGGATACACGGACGCTCGGTCCGGACACGGGGCCAGCGGGACCCAGCGGCCTCGGCGAGGACCGGGGCAGCGGCCGTGCCAGGCGGTGCCACCCCGGGCTGGCACCGGGCAGAGCGGGGGGAAGGCGACGCGGCGGGGAGCGGAGCAGCTCGAAGCTTCTTCCGTCGCCCCCCAGGCCCCGACATCCCCGATTCCCGGCGGTTTTGGCCCGAAAAGCTTCTCCCTGCCTTAATGCAGCCGAACGCC